GTGGTCTCGGAAGTATTACTACACAAGAAATCGACGGCGACCTCAATAACGATCTAACTGATTGAGTTTCTTTGCTGTTTGGGCGTTTGACCGTGTGTTCTGTCCTCTGACGGGTAAGTGCATCGCGTGTCTCTTTCCCACATAACTTCCTATCATCCGTTGGTGACCAATGTTTTCCCGTATCATCCGTCTCAACTCTGACTCTATCTTCAAATCTTTCAATGGATCAAGGACTAGATGTCCAGAGGCACTGGAATACTTCTCCTTCTTCTGTCTCTTCTGGTCGCGAGCAGCTTTTAACACCGCAAATTCGTTCTGCAGGTCCTGACTGGACTTATTTGGTGGTGGTGGGATGAAGTCGGAAGAGGCAAGAGGGTAGCGCGGAGGCGTAACAGAGGTCGAAGGAGAGGAGAGAAATGATGCGAGTGCGGTGACTTGGTAAGGCGACAAATCCTTCATTTTACATTTGTCGTGGATTTGTAGCCGAGCACAGAGTCGGTGTGCGGTATGGTGGCCAATGCCGTAGAAACTTGTGAGAGCGTACTATTCTATACTTAACACCGTCATAGAAGAAATAAACTGCATACGCACTCGAGCGACATGGGAGTCCCGTAGGTTCACTCCAAGAATGTGGACCATTTGATGAACTTCGTCGCTTACAATGCCAAAAATTGAGGCAGTGACGGTTCGGTCACACACCACGCATTTGGACTCCGCTACTTACCATGTCCACCAGCAAAGGTGAAGGCCGTCGAGAGGATGCGCTCGTCAAACAACGCAATCAGATGCGAGAGGACTTTGAGCGACAGAAGCAGTCGCTCATCAACGAAACAGAGAAGGCGCGGCCCTCTGCCAACCGTTTTGTCGGTCAACATGATTCAATGGAGGACACTCTCAAGCACAATACTGTCGGTTTAGTGCACCTTGAAGATTTTCAACAAAAGAGGAAAGAACTTGAGGAGGCTAAAGCGAGAGAAGCTGCGAAATCCAATGACCTCAAGTATGTTCTAGTTTATTCCCGTCTTTACCTTTGCTCTCGCGCCACAAGAGTCAGATCACTTATAGGATGTGGAGAATCCGTTTAGGGACGACGCCAGAAGACTCAAAAAACGCAAGAAAATAGCTAAAGCAACCCTGTCATTTGCAATGGATGGAGATGGAGATGGAGATGATGGCTCCCAACTGGCCGAAGGCAATGATGTGCCTTCAAAAGAGAAAGAGGACACAGTTGAGAATGCCCCACCCGCAAAACGGAACAAGTTTCGTAAAAACCCTGACGTTGATACCTCATTCCTACCTGACAGAGATCGCGAGGAAGCGGAGAGAAA